AGTGTTGTAATTATTAGGTGAACAGATGAGTGATATGAACAATATTTAAATGTCTTGATATTTAAATTTTTAAAACTTAGTGGAATTAAAGAAATGGAAGTGATGCATTTTCATTTCTCTGTCATTGTGTTAAAATAATGCTGAATGGCCTTTTCCTCTGGCAAGCGCCTACTTAAATGGGCCAGAGAAGCCATTGGGTCTTCACTGGAAAAACCTCACCTGGGGGTCATGCGGCCGGTGGTCACGCAACTCATCCTCATCCCCCCCGCATAAGTGTTCGTTCCAACTCCAGTGCAAGCTAAATGTGTAAATATGTATTCAAGAATTGTAAAGCACATCCATGCACTCATAGTTTCTTTCTCTCTCTCTCTCTCTCACACACACACAAACACACTCACTCACTCGCCTTCCTTCCCCTCCCTCTGTTTCCCAGTTGTATAAACATTAGTGGGAATTCACAGCCAAGGGCTTTAAGAAAAAAATAGCAGAAATAATGTTACAGGCTGTCCACTTTAAGAAAATAAATACTCTGAATGGTCCTAACTGGTTTGTGGTGTGATCACTGTTGCTTTGAAGCTTTGTGGTTTCGCACAGGTGGGTTTCTTAGGTATTCCACTTCAGACGAAGCCGGCCACAGAGCAGCAACTCTGAGGAGGCAGTGGCGAGAATCAGCCTCACTTTGAGGCAGCCTGGGGCTCAGGACGGGCCCTTGCAGTGGGGGGGGGGGGCTCCATGGCCAGTCCTGCTTGGCCAGAATGGCCCTTCGAAGACAGAGCTGAACATCTCTAGAAGTCTGAGAAAAAAGAACTTCAGAAATCTCAGAAGTTCTCATCCCAAACCCCTGGGATGGGGTAACCGCCCCACCCCACCCCCAGTGGCTGCTTCAATCTATTTTGTCCATTTGCCATTTTGCAAATTTATTTTCAGTGATGTTATAGCTTTGGTTTCTTTTTTTTCTTGTTTGCTTTTGTTGTACATGGCCCAGAGCATCACCGCTTTCTTGGGCCCCCCAAATAGATGCAATCAATCAATCAATCAATAAATAAATAAATAAATAATAAATAAAGTGTGGATAAAATTGGGAAAAAATGTTTTCCCAATCAGATTCTATGGTATATAACATTAGTGGGGCTGGTATCTGAACTGCAGGTCCCAGCACAGATTTAGAGAGTGAAGAGATTCCCCTTTGGATTCTCAATCATCCGGTTCAGAACTGAGGAAGCTTCCTGGATGAGAAGCAAAGCATTTTTAAAGGGAAAAAGACCAAGAAAGTCCAGTTGCCTTTTAGAAAAAAAACACTTTTGGCACTATGATGCAGTCAAAGCTCTACCAGTCTGAAGTGCAGTGGGAGGCACAGCAGGCCTGGGAAAGCCCTAAGGTTTGATGGAGGATATCACAAGTCTAGACTAAATAAGCCTAACCAGGGGAAACCCCCTTTGAAGGGTGAAAGGTGCTTAGGGGCAATGGGATGCTGGCTGACTTGTGGGAGAAACTCGGGAGAGACAGATTGTTTGCAGGAGCACTGAGGAAAGGTTTTTCATAAAGATCTCATTGATGGAAAAAACAACGATGACCAAAACAGGCCAGTGAGGCATCCAGCAGCCAGCTAAATCGGAAATCAGCTGGAGAGCCAATGGAGGAGCCTGAGGGGCTTCCACACAGGGCGACTCAGAACATGAGGAATGTTGTGCAACCACCAAAGAGGTTCCAGGTCAGAACAAGATGCCGGAGCTGCCTCTCCCAGAAAGCACCTGCCACGATATTCCCCTTCAGAAGGGATGCAGGAGCCAGCAGGCAAGTGACAGGAATCCTTCCTTTTTCCCCCTGATGCTTCTCAAAAAATTTAAACAGGGGCCGATCCAATCCTTAGAATGATTAATGCTTAAACTGTAGGAAAAGTCAAAGGAACTTAAATGCTTCTTTCTCTATGTTGTAGATAATTGCTGGTTGGGTGACCTGGGAAGGGGTTCCCAGACCAGGTAAGAAGGTTGGGTTAGTTTTCATGGGAGCTCACCTGTCCCTGTGGCCTAGAAGGGGCTCTTGGGGAGGGGTTCATTTAGTGACACAGTCAAGAGACAATTGCCCTTAGTGAGTGATTAAATGCATTTCTTAAATAGCCAGAGTGGATATGTATATAGTGTTAGTAGTATATAGATGCAAAAAGTATATAAATAAAAAGTAAAGGAAAATGAAAGAGACAAGAAGGCAGAACAAGCAAGAAGACCAACGGTTCAGTTAACTGAAATGGGAAAGGTAAGTGAACACAATGGAGCACGGATGACAGAGTCTCCTTTTTGGGGAAGTTTTTAACCCCAAGAGGTAGCCTTAGACGAATGAAGTACTTCATATGTAAGCCCATACAAAAAATCTTTAGTACAGACAAAATTGTAACGCTGAATTTTCACTCGCAGAATGGTAAAGAATAGCTTTTATTGCAGAGTCCAAAATTTACCCTCAAAAAAACCTGATGGATTTATCAACACCCTTAAGTGAGAGTGCTGAGAACTGGAGCCTCAGGAAAGGAAAGGAGTCAGAAGCCTGGGATGCTGAGGCCGGTTTGTGGAGCTTTTGGGCAGCCTGATGAGGCAGCCTCAACTGCACTCTGCTCACAGCAGTGGCCCTGTCCTGTTCATCTGAGCCCAGGTATCCTCATCCTGGTGACATCGGGATTAGCACCAGGCCAGGTTAAACATTTAGCAGTTATAGTCGTCTATGCTTTGAATCTTCATACTGAAAACCAACTGATGGCAATGAAACAGCCTTTTTCTCCCACAAATACACATTTTCAAAGTATGGGCAAACAAGCACACAAATCAGCAACATATCCTTAAGTCCAACATTTCTCCCTAGAAATCTATATTCTTTGCCTTAGTCTCAGATGACTAAAATTGCATTTAACAACTGGGTTCCCAAAAACACCAGCTCAATTCCTTCTACACCCACTCTTTGTTTTATGATCAGAGGGAGAGACGGAGGGAGGGAGGGAGGGAGGGGGAGAGAGAGAGAGATGCTACAGAGACCATTGGTTGCTACCGTCTCATTCAGATAAAGTTCTATCATGCAGCTACATAGTGGGTATATAACATGTTGCATCCAAACAAACCATATGGTAGCATAGTATGATGGCCTGACCTGATTCAAACAGTTTGCTGAGACAAAGTTCCCACAACTGAGTGAGCTATTGAATCCCCAACCATATTTTAATTTAATCAACCATGTTGTTTGAATCCAACCAAAGACAATGGATGCTTTTCTAGTCCCATTAAATTGCAAACAAACAAAACGTAAGATCACTACTGTATATCTTGCTATAGAAATGAACAACTAGGGGTATTAACCCAGGGGAAAGCCACTGTGTACCAGAAAAGAAGTTGAAATGAAGAATAAGGTACTTGGTGGCTACAGTCACTAAAAATCACAGGGCACAACTTGGCTGCTCTCCTGGTGTGCTGAAATGGCACCTCTCAGAATTCTTAGTCAACCTGGCTAAGAGTTGCAATTTCAACACATCAGGAGATGCTGGGCTGGAAAAGGCTGCTGTAGAACCATTAAGGGAAGCTCTGACTCATTCACCAATTCCAGCATTCAGCCTAAAAATGGTTTCGCTCTTACGCTCAAGGAGAGTTACTGGGACTTGGAAAGTGTGCATTCCAGTCTGAAGAGCTTGCCTGATCTTTTGTCCAAGGCCCAGGAAAAATCCCCATCCAAGCTTTCCCTCTCCCAGCCTGGCCAGACATGCAAATATCTTAAACACCCATTTGCTTCTACATGGTTTCCATACTTGGCGATTATCTTCATGCCTCAAGCTGACCACCAGTTTTGTTTAACCACAGGATACATCCAAATGAGTTGATTCACACCATACACTAGCAACACTGAAGAAACCACATGAAACACTACTGTGATTGATGTCCCCAGACAGAACATGGACCTACACAGGTTGCCTGACAAGACTGCATTGGCAGCAGGGATGGAGTTGTTATTCCTTCCGACTTGCTTTCCACTCTGCAGCCTCCCTTCCTTGCCTGCATTGTTGCCCATCCAGCCTCGTAAGCACTGGAGCATTTAATTAGCTCCAAACACATCAAGCAGGGAAGTCAGACTACAAGCTTCAGAGGAGGCAGATTCAGCAAGGTTTTGTGGGAAGTTTCACATCAAAAAATATATTTTATTCCTTATACTGTCTCCATCTTCCCTTAAACATTAACATAATCCACAATGGACTGAAAATCAATGTCTCTGCTAGATAATTAACAATCAAGCTGAAGCTAAGCTGAACAAGTAAAAATAGCAAATGGAAGAAAATCTTTTATTCAAACTTCTTTAAACCCGCAAATAAGTTACCCAGACCTAATCTATTTATCAGAGAAGGTCTGTAAGGAAAAGTTAAAGGTTCCCCTCGCACATATGTGCTAGTCGTCCCTGACTCTAGGGGGCAGTGCTCATCTCTGTTTCAAAGCCGAAGAGTCAGCGCTGTCCAAAGACGTCTCTGTGGTCATGTGGCCGGCATGATTAAAGGCCGAAGGCGCACGGAGCACTGTTACCTTCCCACAAAAGGTAGTTCCTATTTTTCTACTTGCATTTTTGACGTGATTTCAAACTGCTAGGTTGGCAGAAGCTGGGACAACTAACGGGAGCTCACTCCGTTATGCAGCGCTAGGGATTTGAACCGCTGACCTTTCTGATCGACAAACTCAGCATCTTAGCCACTGAGCCACCGCATCCATTAAATAATAAGCACAGTTAATAAACACAGTTAATTAAAACAGTCTCCCAGTTGAACAGCACGTTCACAAGAATAAGCATCACACTTGACTTGTACACACACACACCTCTCAAGTGTCACCCTTCCACACCCAGGAAAAGCTGCCCTATGAAGCAACCCCATTTTCTCTGCAGCTGCCCCCGTATGCGAAGCTTTCAGCTTTGGGGAATAAATAATTCTCCTTTCCTCCCAGCTGTCTTAATTTCATTTTATTTATTCTTGCCCAACTCTGGCTTGAGTTGGAACCCCAAATTATTCTTCTGACGGTTTCTGTGCAGCGGTGTAGACATGGCATCAGTGTAAATGTTTGGGACTATCACACCCATTTGCACACATATAAAACACAATTTGAAAGACCCAAAGCTTTAAAGAGATCAAAGATAGTTACATTTTTGTATAATAATTAAGCTGACCTGTGGGTGTTTCTGATAGTAGTTTCAGCGCATAATGCATGTTCCACCGACAGATATCAACAGGATCATCCAAAAGCTGTGCCAGTGCTGGGATGACTCCATGTTCTAGAAAATTCGTCCTAAAATTTGGAGCACCATAGATTCATCTTTTCAGAATCTGGAAAATGTAATGAACAATAACTTCATTTCCCCCCTTCTCTTCAAACTGCATTTTTACAAAATACCTACCTGCCAATGCTGTGTGTTGCCATTATGTATAGGACCTCTGTAGTTTTTTGTCGCACAGTTTCATCTTCATCAAGAAGCAGATTTTTCAAGTTATCTAGAAAACCTAAAAGGGAAACTTGCATTTATTTATTTATTCCATTTATATGTGACTTTCAACTAAAGTAAAAATAAGAAAATGAAGAATATAAAGAGGCAACATAAAGGCAGAATTAAAAACAAATACTAAACATTATAAAAGTAGGAGAAGATTTCTTAAAACTAAGGATTACAAAACAGAGCATCTGATAATGGCAGAGAAAGTAGACTTTACAAGCAGGCACATATAGGTAATCGAGTTACAACCATTTATTTAGCACATGTTCAAACTTAACAGTGGCAGTGAAAAAAGTGACTTATGACCGGTCCTCACACATATGACTGTCACAGCATTCCCAGAGTTATATGATCAAAAATCTGGGTGCTTGGCATATGTTTGCTATGGTTGCAGCATCTCAGGGTCATGTGATCGCCATTTATAGTCTTCCCAGCCAGCTACTGACAAGCAAAGTTAGATTTGCTTAATGACCGTGTGATTCACTTTACAATTACAATGATTTACTTAACACAAGGTCACAAAATCAGACATGGCTCACATAACCACCAGCTTGCTTAGCGGTAGAAAGTCTGTCCCCCAATGGTAGTCATAGGCCGAGGACAATCTGTGCGGCAATCAGAAATACTGCCAGTACATCATTCCCAAATTTTAAGGACATCAGAAGTTGAAAAGGGAATCAAGCCCCAAGGTAAGACAGTTAGCAAAATGCAAGTGTCATAAAGTCCAGCTGCCTTCTAAATGCAAATTTCTAAAATAACAAAAATCAAATGAAATTAGAATTGATATGAAAAATGGACAAAACTTCAAGAATGCTGCCACATTCCCCCCCGTAAGTTCTCCCTACATCCTTTTCACATTAAAAACAAAAGAACTTTTCCAAGGCCAGATAAATCAGATAAAAATTATAACATAACAATTGGTTTATATGGCTTGCTTTTATTTCCAGTACAGCAAATAAAGAATAGAACTGAGCAAAGCCTAATTCTATATGATTTTTCAAATCAAATTGTATTATAAAATTAGCTTTTTCCAGGTTCACTTTATGTAGGAATGCATAATAATTAATGATTATTTACAATTTAACTTAAAACTTTTAAATTCAGTTTTAAGTTTAAATATTTTTCTCTTCTGCTGTTACAGGTACATGTTTTCTGATTTTTTTAAAAAAATATTTTTATATAAGAGAATAAAATGTGAGCTTAGAAAATATAGGAACAATAATATATTTTAGTTTCTGCCATTTCTACAATGATTCACCCTGTATAATTAGCTGGGGGAGGGGGGAGTTGGAATTGTTTCTAGAGTACCTGCTCCTAATTCAACTCAGAGTCTTTGTATGGAGAAATAAAAGCTATCAACCACAAATCCATCTAGACCAGTGGTTCCCAAACTCTTTTTGGCCATGCCCCACCTAAGCATCTCTAAAATTCTGATACCTCCCCTCTCTGTGAAATATAATTCTTACTTTACTCAAAAAGTGAACCCGTACTCATGGGGAGGAAGCCTAAAAGGACATTAACTTGTTTTAAACAAGGTTCAAATTGCCCCCTTTAAAAATCAAATTGCCCCCCAGTGGGGCACGGGGCCCCACGTTGGGAACCAATAAGATTTATTTATTTATTTGATTTATGTATTTAAACCAACAGAGCCATTGTGCATGCTTGCAGAAAAAGAAGGTAGGCTCTTCTCACAGGCCATCACCAATCACAAGGATGAAAAATATAACAAAAATTCCATTGGGAGATTCCCGTGAAGGGCAAGTCCTTTTCCTATGGAAGTAAGTTGTGAGGTTTGCAGCATCACACATTCCTCACTTCCATGCCTCCCCCATTGCCCCCTGTGGACACCTGTGGCGCTTCTGGAAAACCACTGGATGTTCTCTTAGACTTTCCTACAATCACTTTACACAAATAAGAAGGTGGAAGGGTTACGAGGGAAAGAGGCTGCTGACCCTGCTGACTGATCACTGTTGATTGCCCAGCGAGTGAGACCAAGGTTGCTCCCTGCTCACCTAGTTGAGGCACCTTTAGGAGATATATCAGCAGAGAGTTTGGGCAGGGAGGTCAAAGCGAAGGATTTCTTTTAAAAAAAAAATAATTTAATTTTTTTTAATTTAAAACAAATANAATCACCAGAGACGTGTGTGAAAGAGACCTCTCTAGATTTTCAAGTAGAATTTGAACAGCAAACTAGTGAACCTGAGAACTCTTTATAACAATTCAGGGTTGAATTTGCAAAGGTGGGACTTCCAAGCTACTAAGATTAATCTATAGATTTTTTCCCAGGGAATTCTAGAGTTTAAGGACCAGATATCAAAAAGCTTTCAAATTTCAGAAACACAGAACTATAGTATTAGACAAATATCATGAATTTTGAACCAGGTGTCTTTGTGGATGAAATAGCCAAGGAAGGTTGTGTTTCAGCCAAAGCCGTTAAACTATTCTTCACAGTGTGCAGGCTAGTGTAACTTATTCCCAGTAATAACTCCAAGTGAAAAAAAGTGTTGTAGACAGGAACAGCTGAGAACAAGCAAATTCTTCTTTGGAGCAATGACAACAGATAAAACCTATGCTCTTTAAAACTAAACCCAACACCTCAAATATTCTTAAAGATTATCCATAACTCAAAGCTCAAATCATTATCAATTCCATGTTCTTGCAGGAGACAAATTGTACTGTAAGAGAAGAAAGTTGTTCAAAGGATCCTTGATTCAGGGCTGTGCAGTACTTTGAACGTGAAGGCAAAAAGATGCTAAAGAATATATTAAGGGGCTGCCTGTAACTCCTGAAATCAGACCCATCTTTTCCTAGGATTCCAGATCACCCAATTGTGCAACCTGAGGGGGTGGGGGGAGAGAGAAATCAGAATCTCTAAGGAAATGGAGATGTGCCGTATGCAAAACTTCCCATATTCCAAAGCAGGCTTTGCCTTTGGATCAGAAGCATCACATAGCACAAACATCATCCCACTGCATCCCACCCTAGAAGAGTGGAAATCATTGCCCTTTTCATGATGATAGCCAGCTTGGAGAAAAGTCTGGTTCATTACTTCTTATTCCTTATTGCATTTTATGAATATATGGCCTGTTTGCAAGAAGTTCATGTTTCTTAAAAGAAGTGAAAATGTGTAAGTGTGTGAGGCATTGAAACTGAATATTCGGAGGGACATAATAGTTGAAAGATTGGGACATACAGAGAGAATAAATGAGTATCAATCTGCAAAGCAAATATATGAAAGAGGAGTGAGAAGGTTGAGCAGAAAAGAAAGTTTATGAAATCTGAAAAATGAGCAGTTTGATGACAAAAAACACATTGCCAAACTGGTGCAGGAATACAGTGAACATTAGAATGTTTTATTAGTTAAGAGAGGTATAGTGAATGTAAATGTATCTATATATCACCCACTCAAATAAAACTGGCAGACTGGCTATCTTGTGGCTTATATGAATAAGATAAAGATCTCATAATGGGCCCTCAAAGCTCACCAAAGATATCATGAATCCCTACTGATAAAAAGTGATGAATATTTGGTTCCTGTTTCACCACTATGAAATCTTCTCTAAATATTTTCATTATCCAGTTGCCTTCCCCATCGATGATGAAGACGAAGATAAAATTGTGGGTGGTTACACCTGCCAAAAGCATTCCGTCCCCTATCAGGTCTCTCTATATTCTGGAATACATAGATGTGGTGGCACCATCATAAACAACCAATGGATTGTTTCAGCTGCTCACTGCAATAGATCGTAAGTAATTTTGTGTTCTTATTTTATTTGGAACATCACCATTGCACTGCTATATTTACTTGTATTAGTAAATCAAACAAAGGATACACATACATGCTTTTATTTGCAGATAAGTGTGCACACATATTTATAGTGTTCCTTGCCTGCCCAATAGTGGAAGTCAACATACAATTGTGTCCATCTTTTTCAGGATTCAGCCATTCTGGGCAACAGAATGCCCTTGTGAATGACCTAATGACCTAATGATATTAGTGGGCCTGCCTTTTATCGTATAGCATGTTAAAATAAGTTGGATGAAAATAGATATGACCAAAATGTCTATTTCTTGTTTTGATTCAGCCGAATCCAAGTGAGACTTGGGGAACATAGTTTGACCAAAGATGATGGTTCCGAGCAGTACTTTGATCCAATCAAAATCATTCTCCATCCCAAATTCAACGGCAGAACTTTTGACAATGACATCATGCTCATCAAATTATCCAAACCAGCCAGTCTCAATTCCCGTGTTTCAGCAATCCGTCTACCAAGCAGCTGTCCATCCACCGGNTATCTGAGTTAAAATACTTGAGTTAATATGAATTATGCTTGATGACTGTGGAAGAAATGCACGAAAGTCTTTTGTAACCAACTGATACACTTTCTGCAGTATGTAAAAAAGGAAAATGTTATGTGTTGTGTTTGTTTTGGAAATGAAAAATAAAAAAATCTTTAATAAAAAAAATTAGTATGATAAATGTAGTATCCACAGTATTAATCTAAGAATGATACTATTAAATGGTTGGATGGATCAGGTATGGGAGAAACTCATGTGAATTCCATCTTTCCTCAGAACAAGTGCTGAGAAGTCTCATCTTGAGATTAGAAAGAGACCTCTGTAGATTTTCAAGTTGAATTTGAACATCAAACTAGTGAACCTGATAACTTTTAATAACAATTCAGGGCTGAATTTGCAAAGGTGGGACTTCCAAGCTACTAAAATTAATCTATATTTCCAGGGAATTCTAGAGTTTAAGGTCCATATATTGAAAACCTGTCAAAGTTCAGAAATACTGAACTATAGTATTAGACGAATACCATGGATTTTGAATCAGGTGTCTTTGTGGATGAAACAGCCAATGAAAGTTGTGTTTCAGCCAAAGCCGCTAAACTATTCTGCACAGTGTGCGGACTAGTGTAACTTATGCCCAATAATAACTCCAAGTGAACAAAAGTGTTGTAGACAGGAACAGCTGAGAACAAGCAAATTCTTCTTTGGAGTTATGACAATATAGATAAACCCTAGGCTCTTTAAAACTAAACCCAACATCTCAAATATTCTTAAAGATTATCCATAACTCAAAGCCCAAATCATTATCAATTCCATGTCCTTGCAGGAGACAAATTGTTCTGTAAAGGAGGAAAGCTGTTCAAAGGATCTTTGATTCAGGGCTGTGTAGTACTTTGAACATGTGGGTAAAAAAATGCTAAAGAATATATTAAGGGGCTGTCTGTAACTCCTGAAATCAGACCCAGCTTTTCCTAGGATTGCAGCTCACCGAATTGTACAACCTAGGTGAGATGGAGTGGAGAAATCGGTATCCCTAAGGAAATGTAGATCTGCCATATGCATATCTTCCCATATTCCAAAGCAGGCTTTGCCTTTGGATCAGAAGCATTACATAGCACTAGCATCCACCCCACTGCATCCCATGCTAGAAAAGTGGAAATCATTCAAAAGAAAAAGGAACAAAACGTTTTGACAGGAGAAAGAAGCTAGTGGGATATGGGCAGTGACCCAATTGCCATGAAGACAGGTGGCATTTCTCATTTTTGTTTCAACTAGTTTGTGTTGCCCTTTTCATGATAACAGCCAGTTTAATGGAGAAAAGTCTGGTTCATTACTTCTTATTCCTTATTCCATTTTATGAATACATGGCCTGTTTACAGGAAGTTCATGTTTCTTTTTTTTTAATTAAAAAAATTAATTTTTAATTTGAAACAAATACAAGATCATTCTTTACATGCTATAGAAAGTGTATTGGTTGGTTACAAAAAGACTTTCAGGCATCTCTTCCACGGTCAACAAACATAATTCATATTAACTTAAATATTTTAATTCAAATATTTATACATATCACCATCATCATCTCTCCATTTTCATTTGACTATAATTGTTTAAGCGTCCTTCATCATAAAATATACCAAAATTTAATACATAACCACATACTGGCCTTTCAATTACTATTTCTAAAATCCTCCACTAACACTAAATCCTTATGTCCTATTCTAGCTAAACATCCATAATATTTAATAACAAAGTTTTCTAATCCTCCTTTCCAAATCACTGTTTAGAGTTTACATCCAGTTTCCTTATGTTATACCCATATCTATATATATGTTGTTATTCTTATCCCTCCTTTATTTGACTATATCCTGTATCATCATAACATTTCCCCCCTAATAATCAAAACTTTAATTGTACCTAACTTACTTCTTCTTCTTCTTGTTGTTATTATTATTTATGTATAATCCAAAGGGATTGCTAATCTTCCTTACATGGGTGCCATTCAATATTCATGTACAATTATACTCATCATAACACTACACATTGTATACATTATCAGTTATTTATTTAAGCTATATCTATTATCAATAAATTTCACTAAGTTTAATTAGTTTTAAATTATATTCTTCCATCTATCAACCTGTATCTTTCCAATAGCATAAACAGTCTCATATCTTCTGCCATTTGTGGTGCCAGTCCTCTAATCATCTTCTTGGTCAGCTTTGTATAGATTTCTCTTAGCAACTCCTTGCTTATAAGATCTCTCATATAATCTTATGCCCTCTTTCTGTTTCCTTATTCAGCTTATCTTTGATTGTCAGCGTTATCAATGCTTTTGCTAAAAGAATTTCTCTCTTTAAATCCATAGATTCTTTAGTTTTTTCTTCTTCTGTATCTTGCCCTCTGGAATAGATTTCCTCTCCATTTAATTCCTCTTTCAGTATTCCATTCTTTCCATTTTCAGAGACAAACCAATCACCATAAATATCAGCAGGTTTAATCTCTTTATATTCATTTTCCACTTTGATTTTTTGAGTTTCAACCACCCCATTTTACATTTGATAGACATCCTCAATTTCTTCATCATATTTTATTGTTATGTGCTCTAAGTATTCCAGTTTTTAGAAGTTCATGTTTCTTAAAAGAAGTGAAAATGTGGAAGTATGTGAACTATTGATACTGTGCATTGGGAGACACATAACAGTTGACTGATTGCTTGGGACATACAGAGAATAAATGAGGATCAATCAGTAAAGCAAATTAATATTTGGTTCCTGTTTCGCCACTATGAAATCTTCTCTAAATATTTTCGTTATCCAGTTGCCTTCCCCATCGATGATGAAGATGATGATAAAATTTTGGGTAGTTACACCTGCAAAAGCATTCCGTCTCCTATCATGTTTCTCTGAATTCTGGAAGATATAGATGTAGTGGCGCCATCATAAACAACCGATGGATTCTTTCAGCTGCTTACTGCAGTATATTGTAAGTAATGATATATTTATTTGTATTAGAAAATTGAATAAAGGATACACATACTTGCTTTTATATGCAGATAAGTATGCACACATATTTGTAGAAGTGTTCATTGCCTGCCTAATAGTGGAAGTCAACATACAATTGTGTCCACCTTTTGCAGGATTCAGCCATTCTGGACAACGGGATGCCCTTGTGAATGACAATATTAGTGGGCCTGGTTTTTATCTTGCAGCATAATAAAATAAGTTGGATGAAAATAGACATGACCAAAATCTCTGTTTCTTGTTTTGATTCAGCCAATTTCAAGTGAGACTTGGGGAATACAGTTTGTCCACAGATGATGGTTCCAAGCAGCACATTGATCCAATCAAAATCATTCCCCATCCTAAATACAACCACAGAACTTTGGACAATGACATCATGTTCATCAAATTATCCAAGCCAGCCAGTCTCAATTCCCGTGTTTCAGCAATCTGTCTACCAAGCAGCTGTCCATCCACCAGAAAAATATGTTTAGTCTCTGGCTGGGGCAACATTCTCAGCAGTGGCGGTGAGTTTTCTTCAAGTTTTTTAACCGAGATAGGATCATTTCCAGTTGAGTTTATTGAGCAAAACAGATGGGACAGGGTCATACATATTAATCCTTGGCTTTCATTTACTAATAAATTCCATAATAAATTGGATCATTTCATGTAAAACCATGTATCCCAATAAGGTACTCAGAACTTGCCTTAAGTCCAAGATATGATCAACTGGTAGATTTCTCCAATGAAGCAAAGGATGGTTGGCATCCTTAGGGCAATAATTTTATAGAAATTTGTGGATGAGCTTCTTTTCTATTTGCTCTGTAGAAACTTTCCAGGGAATGTCTAATGTCTATGTTCGAAAGTAAACACAATTTCTTTGATTTTCCCACAGAACATTATCCAGATCTCCTACAGTGCCCGAATGTCCCTGTACTTTCTCAGGCCTAGTGCGTTGGGGCTCATCCATGGAAAATCACCAACAATACGTATGTTTTGTGCTGGATACCTGGAAGGTGGAAAAAACACTTGTCATGTATATAATTTCCTTTTTCTCTATTTTGCATCATATAGTTCAGATGGTGCTCAAAACACATCCCATTATATAAATTAAATTCATAGCTAGCTTGTGTTGGTCTTGACAATATAATAGAGAAGTGGACAGTTGGGAGAGATCTTTATAAGAATAAATAAATAGCTCTTATTATAGTCTTATTACTTTACTAACTTTACTTTGGATCTGCATTATTTCTCCATGGGAATGTACTAGATCTGCAGTTCAAGAGACAGATTGGAGATTCAGAATTTCCTGCCCTTGTATGAAGACGCATGTCTGAATTTAGACTTTCTCCCCACTTGACATTAAAATAGGTCTGTGTGTGTGTGTGTGTGTGTGTGTGTGTTTGTGCGTAAGATCATAGGAGAACTGAAGCCAAATGGTGTAGGAGATATTACATTTCCCTGTAGCATACAGCAGCTTCCTGTTCCACCAGATTCCTTTAGAGCAATGCTTCTCAATTTGGCATCTTTAAAATATGTGGACCTGAATTCCCAGAATTCCCCAACATGAATAGAATTGAAGTCCACACATCTTAAAGTTGCCAAATTTGAATAACACTGTTAATGTGCTAATAATGGCACATTATTTCCTGGCACAAAGGAATAATTCTAATTGCTCAGTATAATTTTATATTGCTTCCAATGCATCAGATTTTCCCCAGACGTCCATGGAATGGTAGAATTTGTGAGGTGCTATCTCTTTTAGGAAGCTCTTACCAGACAGTTATAGTACATCTGGGATTTTTATCTCCACACGCCCCCCTCTCTATTCTTTTCCTCAGTTCCCACGCCCCGGCGGGTCCACACAAGTTCCTCGCCTAGTTAAGCGCG